TTTTTTTTAGCCTCAAATGTTTTTTTTTCCCCTTAAAGAAGGTGAAAAGAAGCACTTGGCAGCTCAGTGCCATGTAGTGGTTAGCACGAGGGGAGAATAAAAACATAACTCTACTCAACCCTGTAACTTTTTAAGCTCTTCTTCACACAACACTACTCCTCGTCCTCCTCCTCTTCCTCTTCCTCCTCCTTCTTCTTCTTTTTCTTCTCCTCCTCTCTCTCTCTCTCTGTCTCTGTATCTATCTCTCTCTCTCACTCTCATATATGTCCTCCCACCGCTGCCCTCGACCGGTCCAATTTCATCACAAAATGAGAATTTGATAGCTCTCTCAATTGATTGGGGAGAGTCACCTCTAGCTATCTTCACATCCAGAGACTGCTTAGCCGTCAGAAGGAGAGGATGAAGTGGAATAAGACTTGATCGCTGATCAGTTGGAACGGCGGCGCGCTTGGGAGAGCTGTTCCCCATGGCTAAGACAGAGAGATAGAGAATGGCCTTCCTCCTCCTGCTCAACTGGACCTCTCCGGGGTCGGTCTTCCACGGGATGCTTCCATGCTGATCCACAGAACCTTCCTCAAGCCAGTCTCCGACTTGCTCACGATTCCGGGATCCTTTCTGCTTGGCTGCCTCTGCCATGCTTTACCACGTGGTCACCTTACTGCATTGTCTCCCTCTGGTCATGGGACAGTATGATATCTGCAAATCCTGGGTCACCACGGACAATGGACCCATGTGGGAGTTTTACGCTTGCCAGCCCAAAGCTGTGGCTATGAAAGACTTTGCGACGGTCCGGGTGGAGCCCTCCGGCATCACCTGTGGGGATCCGCCCGAGCGGTTTTGCACGCATGTAAGTACACCCTCCTTATTTACACCTTGTTTGGCTCCGGCACAGGAGGTGGAGCTGCAGTTCCCCCAAAGTCGTGGTGGCCAGGCGCAGCGCCTTGAAAAGGCGGTTGATGTTTTTTTGTTGTTGTTGTTGCGTGTGGGAAGGAAGTTGTTTGAGCAATTTGTCACTTCTGTCAAATTTCAACATCCGTTTTGGTTCTGATCTGGGCCCCCAGGCCTTTCAGCAAAGGCCAAAGGGGTCCTGGGGCTCAGGAAACAGCTGGCTGTTCTCAATTCTTGGAGACAGCAACGCCAGGCCAAGTGAGACAGACCGGAGAAGTGACTTTTCACAGCAGAATAGTTTGTACGTTGAAACTGTGGGTTGTGGGGTAAGGGGGGGTGGGGTGGAAGAATGGAAGTCTGGTCTGAATTTGATCCTTGGCATTTCTAGTTTTTTATGCAAAATATACTCTCTGTGCAGAAAGTTCTCCTTTTATTCAAAAGTTTGCAAAAAGAGCTGGGGAAAACTCTTTTCTGGAACAAACAATCTTTGAGGAGGTGTCTTCGCTTCTTGGTCCTCAAGAGAGCACCTGGGTCAGGTGTCAAAGGATCCAGGTTGGGTGCCACATTCAACTGGACATGAATCTTCCTTAAGAGTTGCATTGGGCATTATGCCAGGGGAACTTAATACAAAGAAACCACACTTTACGTAATGTCTATAATGTCTAGTTTAATGAAGAGAAGGATGAGGAGTGACACGATAGCAGGGTTCCAGTATTTGAGGGGCTGCCACAAAGAGGAGGGGGTCAACTTATTCTCCAAAGCACCAGAAGGCAAGACAAGAAACAAAGAATGGAAACTAATCAAGGAGAGAATCAATGTGGAATTAAGGAGAAACTTCCTAACAGTGAGAACAATTAACCAGTGGAACAGCTTGCCTCCAGAAGTTGTGGGTTCTCCATCACTGGAGGTTTCTAAGAAGAGATTGGACAACCCTTTGTATGAGAGAGTAGAGAGTTTCCTTCCTGAGCAGGGGGTTGGAGTAGAAGACCTCCAAGGTCCCTTCCACCTCTGTTGTTGTGTTGTGTTATCTCATTCTGTAATATCCCTGGTCCCAAAGATGATGATCAGATGTGGCTTTACAAGCTAGGGTAAGATGCTTGAGAGGTCTTATTTTGATCGTTCAATGGGCTGGCAGAATTGGCTGGGTAGACAAATGAGCTGGGTTGGCTTAAAACAGACTTTCTGGTGCTTTTTAAGGATCAATACCTAGGCTGGATTCCTGAATTTAAATATGGCCACGATGGGGATAATCAGTCTCCTTGCTGCCTCGTTAATTAGTGTCTAAACATGGAGACGGGGCTGGAAATTTAAGTGTGTCTCTGTGAGTGGGTGGATACATTAAACTGGGAGATATATCGTCTTTGTGCAAGCTCAGTAGATTGGGGTAGATCTTGAACATCCACTTAAGAGTGAAGTTGGGGATTGAGTGTGAAGTTGGAGAACCTCAAAGCTCTCCAGATAGTGTGTGGGACATCAATTCCCATCATCCTCACCGAGAACAGCCCGCTGGCAAGGATTTTGTAAGAGCTGTCATCAAGAAGACATTTGTCTTCCAACATTGCACTGAAGCGGAAGCGTTGATGGTCATTTCCAGAGGGCAAGGATTATTTTGTAATTCCTAGACTGAGTTTGCGTAAAATGACAAAATTCAGGTGGGCCAAGGAGATCGAAATTGCGTTGGTTCAGTTGTGATTCAGCATCTTCTGGGAATCTGACAACTCTCCAGTCATGAGGACTAAGCTTAGATGGGTTCATTGGATAGTCCTCGGGTTACGACCAAAATTTCTGTCACTAAGCAAGACAGTTGCTAAGTGAGTGTTGTCCCATTTTATGACCTTTCTTGCTTCAGTTCGTTAAGCGAGTCGCTGCAGTTGTTAAGTTTGTAACACGGTTGTTAAGTGAATCTGGCTTCCCCCATCGACTTTGCTCGTCAGAAGGTCGCGAAAGAAGATCACGTGATCTTGGGACGCTGCAAACCGTCATAAATGTGAGCCTCCCAGTTTTGATCACATGACCATGAGGGTGCTACAATGGTCATAAGTGTCAAAAATGGTCATAAGTCGCTTTTTTCAGCGTCGTAGCTTTGAATGGTCCCTAAACTGTTCTAAGTCAAAAGCTTTCTGTGTTACATCAGTACAGCAATTGTGATTCTTTCCTTGGGTTTAAGATTTACTGTATTGTGTTGTGTGAATACGGCTCTAAGTGTGATGGACAGAGAACTCTAGTTTACAATACCCTGCAATGGGTGCAGCAAGTTGTGTGTGAGGCCATCACAAAAGTGCAAATCCTCTTGCGTTGTTGTGAGAAATACCCATTGAGAGGAGACCCCCCCAAAAAATAAATATAACAATCCTTCTACTGTGCCAGTAATAATGATAATAATAGTCCTTTCATAAAGAATTAATAATAATGAGAAACTCTCACAAGCTACCGAAAATAATGCTTGCGTGTTGTTCATGTTTGTTATCCAGAATATAATTTTGGGAAATAGTCCAACTTCTTTGCATTATTTATTTACTGGAATCGCCCCTCGTCGTGTGCCGTAACTTGTCCCTTTGTGCTTGATTTAAAGGAAAGATAGTTGGTGAGTTGGATTTTTTTTTTTAAAATCACCACTCTCTTTATTTTTAATCATCTTTATTACTTGGGATTAAAACCACCTTCCATCTTAAAGAAACACNTGGGAAATAGTCCAACTTCTTTGCATTATTTATTTACTGGAATCGCCCCTCGTCGTGTGCCGTAACTTGTCCCTTTGTGCTTGATTTAAAGGAAAGATAGTTGGTGAGTTGGATTTTTTTTTTTAAAATCACCACTCTCTTTATTTTTAATCATCTTTATTACTTGGGATTAAAACCACCTTCCATCTTAAAGAAACACAAACATTTCAAGGAAAAATGCAAAGCGCAGACTAAAAATGCAGGCAAAGAGGAGAAAAAAAATAACCCATTTTATGCTTAACATCAGTCGCTGCTTGTCGGTGAATTCAGTACAGATAGTCCTCGGCTCAGTCACAGTACAGCCCGTCATTTCGGTCGCTAAGTGAGACAGTGGGCTTTTGCCCCATTTTACGACTTTTCTTGCCACGGAATCACTGCAGTTGTGAAGTTAGTAACACAGTTGTTAAGTGAATCTGGCTTTGATTTTGCTTGTCAGAAGGGGATCGCAAAAGGGGATCACGTGACCCCGGGACGGTGCGACCGTCATAACTAGGAGACAGTGGCCAAGCGTCCGGATTTTGATCACGTGATGCTACAACGGTCATAAGTCTGGAAAACGGTCACTTTTTTTCAGTGCCTTTGCAACTTGGAACAAGCCCTAGATTAGAATAAAGGTGATAATTCAAGAACTGTGTATACTGGATAGTTGGTGAGTTTGCACGCCAGGTAAAGCCAACAACTGTGGTTTTATGAATTGCAAAGTCACAGCACGCCAACCAGGTTTGTTGAATGAGGTTCTGCAAGGCAACGGTGACTCACTGCTAATGTAGGGTGAGGTGTAAAGAGAACGCTTTACAAATGCCCAGAAGTGAAGGGTGTGTGTATGTGTGTGTGTGTGTGTAACTTGAGTGTGAAAATGTTTGCTTCTTTGGGTTCGCCTCTTCTTCGAAGTGGGAAGGCTCATCAGCTCAGATGGAACCTTTTTAATTAAAAATAATCCCGCTGTTTTGTCAAACTACTTTATAAATCACGGCGGAGCTCTTGATTTCGCAACTGTCTCGCAAATAAATCTATAAAAGTTGCAAGCCGGAGGGATGGCAAAGGAGGATCGTTAACTGGCTGGTCCAGACATCCCCACTGCGATGCTACAGTAAGAGCAGGGAGATAGAACACGAAACATAGAACGACAGAGTTGGAAGGGACCTTGGAGGTCATCTAGTCCAACCCCCTGCTCGAGCAGGAGAGTCTATGCCATTTCAGACAAATGGCAGTCCAGTCTCTTCTTGAAAGCCTCCAGTGATGGAGCATCCATAACTTCTGCAATCAGGCCTTTCAACTGGTTAATTGTCCTCACTGTCAGGAAATTTCTTCTTAGTTCTAGGTTGCTTCTCTCCTTGATGAGTTTCCATCCGTTGCTTCTTGTCCTGTCTTCTGGCGCTTTGGAGAATAGCTTGACTCCCTCTTCTTTGGGGCAGCCCCTAAGATATTGGAAGACAGCCCCTAAGATATTGGAAGACTGTCCCCCCTGGTCCTTCTCTTTATTAAACTAGGCATACCCAATTCCAGCAACCGTTCCTTATATGTTTTAGCCTCCAGTCTCCTGATCATCTTTGTTGCTCTTCTCTGCACTCTTTCCAGAGTCTCAACATCTTTGGGGTATCAGGATGGCCAAAACTGTTTATGTATCCCTTCTGGAATTCCAGGAAGTTTATCAATGCCTGGAATGAACAAAGAGATGGAGGAGATGAATCTGGATTTTCCTCAAATTTGGGTTTTCCTTGTCTCCAAATGTCACGAGTCATTCCGGGCTCTACAGCCACAATGAAGCAGAGCTGAGGGCAAGATTTGGTCTTGCATAACGAGGCAGGGAGCTAATGATGTTTTTTAGATCAAAGGTAAAACTCAGGAGGGAAAAAAAACCCCCTAAAGGTCGGTTTTAGATCTCATTATCACCTTGGAGATGCTGAATAATGGATGGAAAGGAGCATTAAGGGCACATTTCTCTCTCTCTCTCTTTCTCTCTCTCCTCTCTCTCTCTCTTTCCCCTTTTTTATTTATTTTTTTAAAAAAGGATCCATAAAAACTCCTAACTAGTTCCATGCTTTTGTTTCTAAAGTTTCAGAAGCAGGGATTTAAAGTCATTGGGGGTGTTTATTGGATATAATTAATGGGTGAAGGAGGAAATGAGCAGAAGCAGAGATTCGTTTTTTGGGCTTTCGCCCCAATATATATATATGTGTGTGTGTGTGTTTGTGTGTGTGTGTGTGTGTGTGTGTACATTTTTAAACGTTGTATTTGA